TGAAAATTTTCTTTCATTTCCACAGGATGGTGACCATGCCGACGACGATCCTGATGAAGCTGGACCTCAAGAAGCAGATACTGGAGGCAGGGTTGAGAAATACATTGGAGTGAAAGTGAAGGCATGTAAAAGCGTCTGCAGACTCTGCACCTTGTTTCATAGGATGATTACTGTGTTCCTAAATAAAATGGTGTTTGTTGCAGGTTTCGTTTACTGGGCAAGGAGAGACACAGTCTATGAAGCAGTTGTCTGGGGGACAGAAAACTGTTGTTGCTCTAACCCTTATCTTTGCCATACAACGATGTGATCCTGCTCCATTTTATCTTTTTGATGAGATAGATGCAGCATTGGATCCTCAATATAGAACCGCAGTTGGAAGTATCCTTCATATTATATTTATCATTTGTTTTTGCCTCGCCAGTTTTCCTTATCATGGTTTTTCCTTCAAGAGATAACAAGCACTTTTCGATTTTTTTCCCCTACTTTTTGGAAAGAGAGGCTGCTATTATATTTATGGTCAACTATGGATTATGTTGTATTCCAGTTTCTGTGATTATGACTCCTGTTTGATGTTCTTAATAACTTTTTAGATATGATCCGTCGGCTGGCAGACATGGCAAATACTCAATTTATAACAACTACATTTAGGCCAGAGCTTGTGAAGGTTTCCGACAAGATATATGGAGTAACCCATAAAAATAGGGTGAGCCGTGTCAATGTTGTCTCCAAGGAAGATGCTCTAGACTTTATTGAGCATGACCAATCTCACAGCAACTAAGGTTAGATTTTCTATTCAAACTTGCATTCTTTCTCTGACCATGACTAATTTACAAAATACATATATTTCGAGGAGAGTTAAAATTTTGCTATTGGTATTCATAGGTGGTTAAAGATGCACGGAGGCATTGGTCTATATTTGATCTTGAAAGTATTTTGTTACATACGGGTGCAAATATGCAGCATCGCTCATCGAAATACTTATGAAAGAAGGTGTGAAATTTTAGGGATGTAAATAGGCGATGTTAGATGACATGGCAAGATTATGCTGTGAAGTTGTGTCTAACAGTACTTGTGTAGTTGCGTGTCTTCTAATTCTTGGTATAATGTAATTAGAGAAACATGACTGGAATGGTTGTGATGTAGAGTGGTATGGAATGGTCGTACCTGCTTTAGGTTATTATTTAGTTTCCATGGTGTGCCATTATACATCTCTTGCCACTGTTGTCTAAAGTGGTCTTTTTTTTTTTTTGAGTTTTTAAAATCTAATTAAATGCTGTGAAGGTTTTGAAAAAACCCTTTTTACTCTTCTAAAAATCATCCCAAATTCAGTGAATTTTGAGTGGGAGTAGTTTGACGATGGAAGCCATTTTTTAGGTTGAAAGTTGATGATATGGTGTCTGCCTCAAAAGAAGACGGCTTGTTTTCTTTTCATTAATATTATATTAACCATTTAAGCACGCCGGTTGCCGGTTGCCGGTTGCCGATCGCTGAGTTTAACTTTACCAACTCACTGACCTTAGGTCCTTAATCAACATCGTCAAAAGCCGCCTTCGCCCTTTTTTTCTACCTTCTTTTTTCGTTTTCGCTAAATATATATTTGCACTTTTTTTTTTCTTCAAGATTTTAATATTTTTTTTGTTATATCGTTTTCTTTAATGAAACTTAAAATTGGTTGATGGAAATTTTTTATCATATTGTATTTAGTGGGTTGGTATAAATTTTCAAATGAAATTGGTCCAACTAAAAGATAAATTTATAATTCCTCTCGATTTCTAAAAAGTTGATGGAAATTTTGACTATTTAAGTAAAACAGGAGACTAAATTTGGAAAGAAAAATCTAAATCTCAAGAAATTCAGTCTCTCTCTCTCTCTTTTTTTTTTCTTTCTTTAAAGAATTTTCCGCATCCCCTCCTATTTCTGTATAATATTTATTATTTCTTAACAGCTGTTGCAACTTGCAACTGAGCATGATGTCTTGTCCCACTGTTGCCCTATTCTTGAACTTTTATTTTATTCTCAACATCCCATAAGTTTCAATTCCAAATGTATAAAAGTTTTTGGATTTGGACTAATATAAAAAGGAGTGTTACGTTAAGTGACGAAGAAAAATGATGATTGTATAAAGAATTAGTGAAGTAGTTAGTTGCGTATCTCAAAGAGGGTGACTATTTTGACCTCTATTTTACCATTCCGTCATTGAACACTTACGTTAAACGAGTTCTTTCTATTCTATCACCAATCACACCAGTAATTTTGGAGTTACACTAACACAAATGATTAGACAGCTCATTCGAACAAGCTCAAGCAAGTTGCAGATTCAATGATCCTTCTCTGTTCGACATGACTTGGAATTTAATCCCTGATTTGATTATTCCAGTGGGGTTCACCTCTAGGCTGTTGATGATACAAGGCAATGCTGAATATAGAGAACAATACCAGAACAGCCATGAACTCAACGCTCTAGAACTTATGCTTTTTTCTTTATAAGAATAAAATGAAGAGGGAAATATGTGTGGTGTTTCCCTTTGTTACACACAAAAAAAAAAAAAGGAATAAATGGGTTAGTAAGAAAGAATCACCAAGAATTCCTAAATCCTCTTTTTGTATATACACAAAAGAATGAACATATAAGGAATCTATTGCCATTCTATATCTGCTCCATTCACTGATGTTCCTCTGAAAAAAACAAGAGGATCATGTCTAGGAATGGTCAGTCACCTTCTTATGTTTCCCGTTATCTGGCCATGAAAGCTGGTGGTGTTGCCGTTGCGGGGCTCAGCTCACAGGTGGCAGCATAAGGATAGCTGGGCAGCCATGAATGAGCTGAGCTTCTTGGTGATAAGCTTACTTGCTCCAACGCTCGTAGCTGAAGTTCCGATGGATAGTCTCGCACACAGCCTATGCGGGGACCTGCTCCGGTTGTCCATCTGCAGGACAACTGCTTCCCTAGTTGGTATGATTTGGGTTCCTTATGTGAATTTAACCTTCTAAGGATTGACTCCTTAGGAATGATCTTCACTTCAGTATTCCCTTGATCTTCATCATAAACGTTTGGCTTTCGAGAGAATGAATTCTCTGTATATTTGTAACTACCAACAGGGGATTCCAATAGAAAACCATTATTGCCATTGGTTCCCACATCTTGTTCTTCTCTCTCAAACATCTCGATCACTTCAGCCCTGTTTGGTATCTCAAGATTGGTCAATTTTTTACCAATGTTGCACGAACACTTTAAATCGGATAATGCAATGGAAGACTGTCTTTGCTCATCCAATGAATGTGGTTTTCTTTCAGTTGATTCTTCAGCATTGTTCTCTTCACTCTCAAAGCCGTTCAGCTTTTCGATGAAGTCCTCCTCTGATGAGTTGTTCCTAATGTGACGGCCACTCTTTTGGTTGTCCAGATAATCATCCTCCTCATCACTAGGACTTGTCTGAATGAAATGAAAAGAGAGATTTGTTAGGCCTTAATTCAAATAGTTTCAGCTTTAAAAAATGGGATCAAAAGGGGAAAACATGTGTGGCCTCTACATTTTTCAGGCAATATACCTTCACATCAGTAAGATCCACATTGTTCTCTCTAAGGAATGATATGAAGTCCTTAAAGTTTTCTTCAGTTGGTCGATAGTGTCCGCTATGAGGCCAAACAGCCTGTCAAAGAAGAGCAATAAATTGTTGATGTCAAAATCCTTTTGAAGGGTAAGCGATGGGTAATTGGATCAGAAGTTAGAGGGTTGAAAAAAATTTAGGATTTCATGTTGTAGACATGGTACCTTCAGAACACCATTGTCGACGACCAATCTCCCAGCAGCAGTTGTAGCTCCTCCAGCTAAGAAGCTCGAGTGCTGGAACGTACCTTTCTTCTTCTTTCCAACATACATGGTCTTCGACGTGCTTAGGACGAAAATCCATTTTGTATTTCTAGTTTCTTCAGTTGTGTGGACGAGTTTCCCTGATTGTTTGTACACAAGTTTCCCATCTTCCACAATAACTTCATATGCAAGCCTTTCCATCTAAAATAAATAAGAGACTAATTAAGTTCGATATGCTATAGTTTAGAATAAGAAAATGAAGGACGATTGGATCAAGAAGTATCTGCTTACAGGACCCAAATACTTGATGCACTGTTGTTGGAGTTTCGATCGCGGGCATTTTTCCACCAGATTTACTTCCTTCCCTTCTCCTATATCCAACCTGAATCCAAAACAGAAGATTTTATTTGAGTCCAGGGTCTACACGACATTTCCAAATTCTGTGAAAGAAGGAAAAGAATACAGGAAAAGGAATAATAAACTAATATATTGTGTTGCAAGAAGGAAATATTACCAGTAGAAGAAGGGTTCTCTACTCTGACTTTGAAGCCATTTCATGTAATAAAAATGTAAGTTGTGGCCATATCGGTGCCGTGGATCAATCTGTATACATAAGTAATAAATCCTTACATCAGCACACAAGGAAATTCATATATTGAAAATACTTGGTTAAGGAAAATCTACTTACAGCCTCGAGCCAATGTTGCAAAGAAAGCTTTCGAGCTTTAGAATTCTTGGATAAGCCTTTTCCAACCTGTAATGACAAAGACTGATTAAATTTCTGAAACAAAAATATGATCAAAGAGGCATTTTGGGAATCCCTTTATATTCACCTTAGCCGCTCTAGTTCTTGCTCTCGACCAGCGCGAAATAGCAGATTCACGTTTGTCCATGTCGAAGAATGATATAGAACTTCGCTTGAGTTCAGCATAGTCTAATAGTTTCCACCTACAAACATTGCTAGTTTAATAAATAATGAAATAAGACAAAGATAACCCGAACAAAAAAGTGCAGCGTGATTATCATTTCTTACAAAATTAAAAGGAAAGAGCAGTACCAGCTTTGTTCAACAAGAACTGCACAATCCGCTAGCTTTCTTCTGGTGCGGAAGCTTTTATACACTTTCTGCAATTTTAGAGCAGCAGCATGCTTGGGATTGGTTGGATCCAGAACTGGTAGGTTTCGAAATCTTCCCAGATCATTATATAAACTTAGAGATTGATTATCAAACTCTTCACTCTTTGGGCTGATCGATGCCACACCCATGTCATTTCCTGTTTCTAATGAACGAGTCTCCAATGAGGACAGGTTCTCCAAATCTCGTCCTTCGATTACTTTTGGTTCTGAATCTCTGCTTGTGAAACTAACAGACCGCATTGAAGTTTTTTCTTCATCTCCAAAACTTATGGATTTTATCAAAATGGATTCTAAATTGTTTCCCAAATCTATATACTCTGCAAATGGACAGGAGCTAGATATACCCATATGGCATAATAAGATCCTTTAGTAATCTGTAAGAACAAGATGATGAATCAAAAGGGAGGACTAAAAAATGGCATTAGCACTAGCAAGTTAAAAATTATCACTGCAGGTAATTTATAATAGTCAATACAAATGACAAAGTGTCCTGTTCAAAGAAAGTGGCTCCAGTTCATCACATAAAGCGAAACAGATCCAGATATAACAGAGTTCAATGCTACTGCAGTACGACCATGGATCTGCCAAACCAAACAGTATAAAGCATCTCTCTCTCTCTCTCTCTCTCTCTCATTTTTTTTATTCCCTTGAGCCGCCGCCGCCGCCGCCGGCGGCACCCCCCACGGCCGCCCGTGTTAAGCCAAGCCATCATGGATGGCAGCCCCAAATCCCATTTCACTGAAACATCGATTCCTAAAACCTCAGTACGAAAACTAAAACCAGCACAAATTGAAATCTCTCTCCCAAAACATAATTGCAGGAGGACTGAAAAACACTGAGCAGACCACCATTTTCACAATCAATACAAGAAACAGACAGAGAACACCCATTCCACGAACGAATACGAATACAATCAAATTGAACGACAGAAACAGAGAGGAAAGTGAAATAATCGATTTCAGAAAGTAGCAGTAATGTACATGACCAACCTTGGAAACGAAAACGATGATGAAATGGAGGGGTTTCCGGGTTGGGATTTTGTTCCTATTTTGTGGGGTTTGATTGAAAAAAGTTGTGAGAAACTTTGAATCGGGCAATTACAGAGATGGTAGTAAAAGGAAGTGGGTTCTGAAATGCCAATAATTCTCTACTTTTGGGGTTTATATAGGACTGCGTACACCAACCGAATTTTTTAAACTTTTTTTCTAGCGAGAGTTTTCCAATTCCAACCATGTGTACTTTGACTTCCTACTTTTTTTTTTCTTTTTTCTTTTTTAAACCAAAAAAAAAAGTGTAAATTGATGGAAATCTTCGCTCTCTTTTTTACATCTACATTTTCATGGGAAACAGCCAAACAAGTCATTATTATATATATCCACCACTCAGAAAACACAATGTCGTTACTATATTATATTTATATCCACAGAGATCGGGAGCAAAAAATTTTAAATCTTGTCCTTTTCATTACTTTAATTTCCCTCCAGTCGATATTTTGCATATAAGTTCGAATTTTCCATCCATACTTGTTTCCAAAAGAAAAAAAAAACACCATATATTTCAACTTAAAGCATTTCTTTTCGAATTACAGATGAAATTTTATTATTTTTGGGTGGAACCAAATAAGAGAGCAGAAGACGATTGCCTTTTAATCTATAATATATAATAAAATTTTAATTGAAATACTACCTACACTTTTAAATTGGTAATCATTTAGTCTTTAAACTATAATATATAACAATTTAGTTTATATAGTTTAAAGTTTGTAACGATTTAGTTCTAATCGTAGTTTTTTTTTTAAACTTTCTAGCTCGATAACCCATGAGGACCAAATGTTTTATAAATTACGATAAAAGTCAATATTTAATTTTGATGAGATTTTATTAGAGTAAAAATTAAATGGTTAGTTGATCAACTAAATAGTAATTACTTCATATTTAAAGTAGGAGGAGTAAATGTATTCTTAAACCTATTTTATTTAAGATTTTATAGTTGAAAAGGTTAGATTTGAAAATAAAATATAAATTATTAATGTAATTAGATTGGTAGCGTGTTGGTGAAGTTAAAGAATTAAGAAGAACTTTAACGGGAAAGAAAAGAAAAACTTCTTGACAGTTTCAAAATTCTCCGGAAGGTCGTTTTCATTTCCACAGTAGAAGGTTTAATTATTATTATTATTATTTTTTGAGATTGGACTGCTTCGTAAAGCAGGATCGCCACTGCTTATGTCACTCTCGGAAAATTCTGCAAAATTGTGTTTCCTTTTACGTGGTAAAACCAAACCAAAGTAGCTTCATTCCCAAGTTTGCTTGTCATTTTCCTTAAAATTTCAATTAAATATAACACTCAAAATCTTTGGTTTGCATTAAATAAAGTCAAATGGAGTGATGTATTTGCAGAGCTGGAGGTTTTGGATGGATATGCCTCTCTCTTTTAGGTTTGCTTACCCTTTTTTCCATCTCTATTTCTCTCCTAATTTTTTCATCAACCAAAATCTGGGTCGATTCCCATTTTAGATATTGAATTGGATATGCGTTCGAACTTTGTTAATTAAGATTTTCATTGTTCTCCAACTATATTATAAACTTTTGTGGGGTCCCTTCTTCTACGTGATATCCTTAATAAGATTGATACATATCAACTATCAAGTTTTTAAATTTTTGCCAAAATTTATTATTAATACCGTGTTAGAATTAGATTTATATTCATTTAATTAATTGATTTTGTAAGATTTTGTAGATGAGCCAATTGATTCTTTGAGAATATATATTAGTTTTTGAGATCTTCTTATTGAGCCCTCCATTTACATGCATGTCTAGATTGTTCTCTACTAGGAGGGAAAAAAAAGGTTTAATTTGTAAATATTGAATTAAAAACGAAAAGAAAACACAAAGGATAGTCTCATAAAAAATTATCATCTAAAGTTTGATCTCAAAATGCCAACAAATTAAAATAATAAAAAGAAGTGCTCATGCTGGCATGCATGCATTTTAATATGTAACTTGTATGTATTATCTGTCACGCTACCTTCCTATATATATGTCCCTGTTAATGTGTAAATTAAAGAGGCTGTGCATCAACGTCCACGTGGCTCCATCTTATCCATATGATATATATATTCATACAAAACAAATTTAATTAATATACTTCTTATTAAGCATTGAAATGTCCCACATCATCAATAGTAGTTCTATTATTGCATGTTGAGACAGTGTTTTACATTACTAACTAAAAAATACTCAAAACTTTTCAAAAGAAAGAAAAAAAAGTACTCTAAAAGAACATCTTAGAAAAACATTGTGACCATTTTTTTTTTATTTTTAAGAATAATGGAACTATTTACCTCGATCGAAATACTAATTTAATTATTCGAATGTGTTGAGCCCAATAGACCACTAGTGCGAGTTCTCTTCACAGGTCTCCTTAGAATTTGACACCGGTGCTGGATCACGTATCAACGACACTCAAAAGCTATTTTCAAATATAATTGAAGAAATAAAAAGTAGTAAACTGTTTGGGATTTTGGAATGAAAATGAATGATAGAGTGCAAGTGTACACCCGTCACAAGTAGTAAAACGGAATAAGTATTCCAAGTATCGATCCTCAAAGACAAATGAAGGTTTTTTATTTTTTTATTTTATAAAAATGATGTTGATCGGTGACTTTGCAATTGAATTCGGTGTAACAAATATCAAGGATAATGTTGATTTTGGTATTTTAAGACTCAATGCAATAAACCCGGCCCAGTTACTTCAAATTAGCTAAAAATACAATAACTTTTTCCAACCAAGCACCAAACGCCTCTCATAAATTTTCTTCGGTTTTGCTTCGTCATTTTCTTATGTCTAAGTGACTTTGAAGGTATAAGTTCATCTCTAATATGTCTATTAGAAAATTGAACTTAATTTAATAAAAACCAACCGTAACCTTAGGTCGAGGTCCTATGCCTAGGCTAGCTACTCGAGCGAAACCTTTATGTCTAAAGTATTTCTCTTTAAAGTTAAATCATCAAAGTTGTGAAAATGTATCAACCTTTCAGTATTGATGCTTGGTTAAAATATTAATTGGCCAAATCAAGTTTTAACTCTTATAAAACAACTTTAAGTGATAAAAGAAGAGACAAACATTTTATGCCTTGTTGGATTTTAAAAATTTTAGCTAACTACCCATAACCAGGGTTGGGAAAATAAATTTAGTTCATAACTTTAGAGTAAAAACAGAATTTAACATTGATGAAAATAAGAGACATGATTAAAAGATGAATAGAATTTAAACAAGCTGGAAATGATGGAGTTGTAACCCGAATGACCCTAACCCGTTCTCTTTCAAGATTTGGGAGCAATATTCGGTGGATTCCACAAGAGAGAGATGAATATCAAAGAACTTGCTGGAATTTTAATTGTATAAAATCAAACTTACAATTGATGAATAACAAGCTGGAAAATAAAAGATGAAGTTCAAATAAGCAAAGTTTAAAACAATAACAACTCAAAACTTAAAAGGGAAACGTAAATAAGTTGAGAGTAAAATGTCTAAAGCTGAAATGATCACTTGAGAATGATGATTGAAGTGGGGGAGCTGTTGAGTTTATAAGAACTTTAAGGCGGTTAGGAAACACCGTTTGTTGTTGAATTAGCAAACATCAATGTATATAAGACACGTGGAGGGGCTTGGGGAAGCTTCAAAACACACCAAAACTTACATTTTACATTAAGGGCAATCTCGGGATTAGGGAAGGCGCTAGACACCTAGCTTTGTATTTTTCTGCACAAAATTGTAATTTCCGTCAAAAATCAACTCTAAATAATGTCAAAACGTCCTATATGCATGTATAACCTAAAATAACTCCAAATGAAAGGTTTTGGACGATATAATAAGCTTAAAATACGATTTCTGAATGTAAAACGTTAAAAAACAGCACCAATTTAACTGTTTTGAAATAAATTCTCAAATGACAATATATTAACACATCAGCTTTTCATTCGTTTAATAATTCTCAAGTCTGATAACTATAAATAATTAAAAAAAAAAAAAAAGTTCCATCTCGTTGACAAAAATCAGTAATATGTCTAAACCCGTCTACCACCGATGTAAATAAATCAACGGCATTGTTATCCAGTTGGCTGGTCTAATTTTGATTTCGTTTCCGGTATGCAAATTAGTTAGTTTTGCATTTTAATTTATACCAACTTGATTTGGTTAAAATGTCAACTTTTTCCTTAAAATTTAAAATGCAATTAGCTTTACCAACCTAGCTACTTAGGTTGTATTTAAATAATTAACCTTAACCATACTGAGAGGTGTGACATGGAACTTTGTGCTATGGAAATATTTAAATGAAGTGTAGAAAAAATGACATTTCTATTTTTTGTTTTTGATGAGTTAATTATTAAGAAAATGTTTCTTATAAATGAACCATACGGATCTCCCACATTTCATGTTTAATAATGCCTGCATGCCTCTTGAGGATCTCTTATTCAAATTAATGAACTGTAAAAATAATAATATTTTTAATCAACCTAATTAAAATATGGTTAGATCTCCCTTTTTGTTTTATTTTCTAATTTTGACAACTGTATGTCATTTATGTCCATCATTATATTGTCTTCACAAAAAAGTCAAACCCATTTAATTTCTAAATATTTTTCATTATTGGGCAGTCCCAAATCATTTCTTTATTATTAGTATCATTGTACAAATTATTGCCACTCATTATTCTAATATTTTTAATGCTACCTTATATTTTATTTCATCCACTGTGAGAACTTGTTCCCCTTCAGATTTTCTGTACCATCAAATATCTAGCTAGTATGCTGTTAATTTATAGACTTCCATAAAATAATGTATATTTTAGGGTAAACTTTCATGAATAATGATAATTATAGCCATTATTATGTAAAATTTGTATATTAATTCAAGATTTATGATACAAATTCACATA